ATTATTATTATTATTATTATTATTATTATTATTATTATTATGAAATTCATGGGTTCACCGTAAGTCAACATACAACCTGAAGGCACGTGCACACACAGAGGGCACTTGATGAAGTAAATTTCTCAACCATCCTGGAAGAGGATTCTGGCAATACTACACTTCAAAAAATTTCCTGGAATCCTGTCTTTTACTGATCAATTATGCCAGCATCAGGCACTTTTTAGAGAGGTGTGCATTCCAGGAGGTAGCAGAGAAAGCTACCTCCATCACCAAAGAAAATGGCCATACTTCTACCAAAGCCAGCAGGGGAGCTTTCTTTGCTTATACAGTCTGTGGCAATTTAACTTCTGCTGATACACACACACTCCACCACACACATTTCTACCACACATTCTGCTGGTGCTGCCTACTCTGGCATTGGTAACAGGATCATATTTATCTACTCATGCAGGAAGAGACAGATGTATATTTTATGTGTGGATGGAATATATGCTGCTCCAGTTTTCATGTAAAATGCTCTGAGATTTTTACATATGAGTATGAATATAAATAAAGAGCCAAGTGAATGTTGGACTGGGAGCGTTGGATTGTGACTCTGGAGATCAGGGTTTGATTCCTCACTTGGCCATGGAAACCCGTTAGGTAACCTTGGGCAAGTTACACACTCTCAGCCCCAGAAAACCTCATGATAAATCAGAAATGACTTGAAAGCAGACAACAACAACAACAACATGAATATAAATATTTCAGTAAAAGCTTAGAGAGAGAGAGAGAGAGAGAGAGAGAGAGAGATGCACAGCAGGCTCAACAGAAGGAATGCACCATATTAACATTCCAACAGATTCCTGCTGCCTGTCAGGTTTCTAGCAGATCCAATAGCACAAGAGAATTTACTACAGCCACCAAAGTTGGCTGCCTTCTTTTCTGAACCAGTACTACCACTAGCTACTCACTAACTCACCTGCTTTCTGCATTCTTATCCCAGACTCAAACCTGGGGAAATAATAATAGCAGCACTATCCCAGGATGATTTGCTAACTGAGGGAAAGCATCAAATGGCACCATCTCCCAAGACAAAGTGTATACCCAATCAAAACTGATCAAGTGATTTTTGCACTAGGGGCTAAAACTCTTACAAGCACTTCTACCTTCTGCCAGCAGTAAAAATACAACAATGATAAATTTATTTAACAATTTGCTTCCTTTCATGACAGTCAGTTGCCTCAGTCATCTCTCTCTGCTTAATGGTAGAGCTGGCCTTGTGAGTGAATGATATATAGATAGAAGGTTTACAGGGCACCAGGCTGAGACTAACCTGGGCTATAAAGGGATTCTTACTGGCCAATATTGGATTGTCTTTAGCACGTTTATGGCCAAAGTG